TGTTATCAGTGAACAATTAGGCAGTTCTCAACTGTCCTTAATCCACAAAATTTGGTTTCCTTTATTCGATGATAAATGAATTCCAACACATTGAGTGATTCTTATTTATCAGTATTCCAATAAAACTATGTTTTATTAATTTTAAATAATTTTACATTGCATATTTAACAAGTATAAAAATAGAACATCAGTCAATTACATTTTTTTTTAATCTAAAAATAATTTGTTTATAAATTTAAAAAAATTTGGGTGTGTCTCAGCAGAAAAAAAAGTTAAAATTTTTGAGTTGGAAACAATTTCTTCTAATCCCATGATTTTTTTTAATGTTATACAGGTGGATATTAAAAGTGTGGTTTTAACATTTTAAATAGTAATGGCGGTGATTATTTCAGATTTCAAGTAGTGTAGTAGTAAAAAAAGGCATAACATGGTATTGGCAGGATGAATCAGAAGGGAGGGCTAGGGGGCTTTTAAGTTTGACATATCGGCCTATACTCAAAACATGGTTAACTTTTCATTACTTCAGCTCAAGCATGGCCGTATTCAATCACTCTCCATTATTACTTGCTTATTTAGTCAGCCAACCAATCAGAGTCGGCTACCAGCCTACCTTCTTGTCAACAATTACAAAGGCTTTAGTGACATAACTATCCCCCTGAACAGCACCCTGACACTGCTCAAACAAGGGCCAAACAATGCTAGATTTTCTGATGAAACAATATTTACAACCAAATTAAGACCAGAGAATGTTTATACTGAACAGATATCAATTCTTACCAGATTAATTTCCAAAAGAATGAAAATTCAGACAATTTATTTTTCATCTGGCTAAAGTTAGGCTTCTAATCAAGTTTATCAGATTTCCTTCCCAGTGTCATTATCTCCTCCATATCATTGGTCACCTAACAATAGGAATGTTTTATGAATCAAACAGGGGTGGGCAGGTTTTTAGAATGTGGGTGGCTCAATATCATGTTAATAAAAAATTCTAAATTTAAATAAAGATAACAAAATTGAAAAAAATCAAAAAAATTACAATCAGACAATGATGAATATTTCGAATGATACAAAATTTAGCCATTCTATTGGGGATTTGTAGTGGAAATAATAATTTAAAAGCAGACATCAAATGTCCCTCAGAGTATAATGTTGCCAACTCCTTAACTTCAATGGAATCATCTAGAAGTTGATATTCAACAAATATTGCCTTGGTAGTTCTACACTGTTCATTGCTGCTCTAATTTCTTTACAAACTCGCCATTCCCTGTTTACAATAAATCCTACGTTCAATATTTAGTTAACTTTCTCAAGAAATCAACAAATATGGAATACTGAAACAACACTGCCATATTGACTGAATAGTATTTTTTTTTCTACGAAACATGAACATTTTGTTGACATTCACTGAAAGTTTGAATTTTAAAGATTTGTTGTTTGTCAGGGTACAAATGCCTGGTTGTGATGGAAACACTAGCATAACAAGACACATAACACCTAATTTGCATATCAATGTCCCTTCTTAATAATTTATGTTTACACTGTAAAATTTATTAACCTACTAAGAAAATCAATTAAATCACACTCTGATTATTTATGTTAAAAATAGCAACACTGATATTTCAGTGTCTTGATCAACAATAATTAAAAGTTAACTTTTTGAATAAAATCTCATTTTTGTCATCAGGCAAAGAAAGCAGGCTTCACTTTGATACTATAGATTACTTTACCTAATTATTTCAGCTGTATAATTTCGTTTCACTGAAAAGCAAAATTTGACATTTTCACTGATTTCTCATGAATTAAATGTATACCATCAAGATAAAAAAATATGCTCACTGGGTTTTATTTCTATTTTTTTACCCCCTTCAAATAATTAACATTTAACATTTTCACCTCAAATGAAAAAAAAAAAAATCCACCCTATATTGGAATCACAAGTAGGAATTGAGCAGGAAAACATAAACATGGTAACCATTATTAAACTTTTTAAGGTGTGTTTCTTCATCATTCTGAACGGCCCACTCAAAGTATGGCTAACTTGTCATTATGACTGCAGATAGAAGCTATTTAAATACTGAATAGTGGTAAGCTCACCATCACAGAAAATGTAACAAACAAGCCAGGAGGGCAGACATTAACATATCAAAAGTGAACAATTCACAACTGGACTATTCAAATGGAAATTATAACCCATTATTCAGTTTTTTCGCTTCCCATCAACAAGTATTTTAAAAATATTTTCACAGTTGCTGGAGGCAGTGATATTTAACATTTTATTTTGAATTTAAATGTCCACTTTTAGACACATTTAATTTATTCTATACTGCTGAAAGGGATCACAAAAAGTGATATATATATCTTTTGTAAAATCATCCACAAATTTCGATACTTAATGATTTGTTGCAGCTTTAACTACATTTTCGTCTTATTATTTTTTTCTCAAAATTCATTGGTATTTTATTGTATCATAGTCAACCAATGTAACCACCACCACTGTGGATACAATGTTATGTCATGCTAATTAAATTAAACTGAAAATAAATTCAGATTTAACTATTTTTTTAATTCCATCTGATTAGTTGTAAACAATTTTCTATAGTCTATGTGCTAACCTCCTAAGATACACGAAAGAGCAAACCGATAAGATACTATCGCATAACCAGCAAAGCTTATCAATCTTTAACTTTTTACTTACTGTGGGCTTATCAAAAAATTACAGCATCATTTTATTATCGCATCCAGCTTTATATATATATATATCTACTCAAATTTAAAAAACAAATAAAATGACCTAATTTACTCTAAGCTCAAAGAAATTTAAAAAGGCTAACACAGAAAGCTATAGGTCAAGATAGCTTAACTTGTGGAACAATTTAATGTTTATATTTGACTATATATTTTGGCCAAAGAAGCTGCATTTAATTTGGCCTGCTATTGGGAGGTCATAGTATGGACAAACATTATTTTCAAATTAGAGCAAAGTCTGATATAAATAAATTATATTAGAGAAATATGTTTTATTTCTAAAACTAGACCAGTTTTATGGAGTCAAATGGGTCAAACTTTAACTGAATAAATAAACCACTCACAGTAGTTTTGTAGAGCTAGTTTAGTTTGCTGTAATTAATCACAGCGCTTTGGAGGCAGCCATCTTTAAATAACTATGCTATCGTTTAATGTTAATTTATGGACTTGTACCATATGAGAAAATTCCATCACATTAGTATACCTCTAACTGCATTTAAAAAAAATAAAACAAAAAATAGATTTTACAAATGTAACCATAACAGTTATTTAATCTGAAAACCAATATGAGAACTGAGATTTAATAATTAATCATTAGTATTTTCCCTGGTTATAATTTTCATTGTTCTTTATTTGTGAGACAAATATTAAACTTAAGATCTGACAAACTGACACATATAAGCTGTATACGGGGTATACTTATACATATTCAAATTAACTAAAATTTAAGTACTCTGGTGTTCTTTTGTCATCGTCTTGTATACACACACACAAACGCTACTGCACCCCTGAATATTAAACCTCTTGAATATATTAAATTACTTTACTACAAAATTATTGTGGATGTAATCATTTTGATGTATAAATCAAAGCACTATGCAAACACAGCATACAGCCTGGTTTGGAAATTTATGAGATAAACTTTGTTATTTGACAAGTCCAGCCAAATTTGAATATAAACTAGCCTGTAACAAAATGGAATATTTTGACTTGGTTAGTATCAAGTTTCCTCTGCCAGGCAGACAGGGAATAATTTGAAGTTGTGACACAGAAGAAATGTTTTATTTTTGAAGTTGAGTGCTCATGTTTTGAGGCACTTCAGTGGTTTAATCAAAATAATTCTACAAAATAAAGGATGCAGTTATTTTTTTTGTATTAACTGAGAAAACATGTAGAGGTGTTACAGAAATCTTTTATGCTCTTTCTTTTGTGTCTCCACTACAACTGTAAAGGAAATAAAAGTCTCAGTTCACAATGTACTCAATTAGTGAAGACCTTATTAAATTGCAACTCTGAATCTTGAATTTCACCAAATTTAAAAAATGTTTTCTGTAATTGTTTTTTTTTTAAATCTGGAGTTTTGACAATCTTTGACATTAAACAAGATTTTGTCCGGGTCTTCATTAAAAATTAACAGGAAACAGCTTTCATTGACAGCCTTGGAATATTTAAATAGAGCAGCCATAAAAGAAAGTTACAATGGAGCAGCCAAGTAATCTAAAGTTTCACGTTTTCTGTTATAACACAACAGAGTGGGTGAACAAAATATTAGGAGCAAAATGGTGTTCTTAACTTGGAGGGATATCATATTTCATGTGCGTGGTAAAAATTTCACAACAGCACGACAACTGTATAATTATCTGAAGTTTAATATCGGCGGGACCCCTATCCTCATCAAGGAAGCCGTCAGTCTGTGAAGGAATTTTTAAATTTGTTTGTTTTGAAATTTGTCACTTGTTTTAGAAGACCTTCACTACACCTTCCCGCCTTTTGTTTTGGTATCATGTTCGCTGCTTTTAATGAACCGATTTTTTATCATAAAATAAATGCACACGTTTTTTTATATATAATGTTTGCCACTCGCACCGACAGTGGGTCAGCTCATTGACGGCCCCCATGAATATTGCATGTTTTCATTTTCAATGCCAGCACCCCCGCACATGTCAAACTTGAATGTTTCCGCTGAGCGATATTAAATTCAAAGACGATCTCGATAAATACGACCAAAATTACGAAACAGGTCATAGATGTGGAACAAGTCACCCAAATATATTTTTCAGGCGAAACAAAGACCTACAACGCTCGGTGAATAAAATGTATTTTAATTCGTGCCAAGTCTTTTGTGATGCGGTGAAGTGTAAACAAACATAAGTAAAGTTTTTAAATATTCCTATACAGGAAACAGCGAATTCCGTCCAGATTTTACGTTAGATTTTATTAAAATTAACAAAATGTATTGATAAATTATCACTCACCTTCCCCTGTGATCCTGATCGACCGTCGGGTGTGTCTTCGGGGAGAAAATATAATCTCAAGCTTGAAAGAAGCTGGCCATTATTGGATTTGTCCTCCCAAAGTAGCTGCAACTCGCCAATACAAACTGGGTCTTCCGGTGAGCATCTTACGAAGAAAAATTCACCCAGCGATAAAATTTTCCATTTTTCGTCTTTAAAATATTTGAAACCCTTGTAGAAAATATACGGACCATGTTGGCCGCACGGGGCACCGACCCACTGCAAGAAAGTCATAATATATTATTAAGAGGCGATCGGTGCGTATGTACACTGTTGCAAATAAAAACTACCAGCGTAGCATTTAGAAAGGTCAATCTGAGATTGAGTAAATGAAAAGTTATACTCGCTCAAAAATAACAGCGAACAAGTACCGAGATGAATTAATATTTTCAGAGACACTCGTGAAAATATTATGTCAGGTAAAATTGAAATGCTCGAATATTTTGGAGACGGACTGTACCTGTATTCTGTAGTCGTCCATTGTAAAACTACGAGAATATAATCAGATAAAATGTGAGGTGCATTCAATGCCTCTTGTTGATTCAAATCACATGACGTCACGGTGTTAACATAATTACACACCTCATTAGCATACTTCATAAATAATTCATAAATAGAACCAGTGTCAATCACTCCCACTTTTCATAAACAAAAGACAGACATGAAGACGAAGTTTAAATTTATCAAAACAAAATCGTTAAATGTAGCGTTTTTTGCCTGATCGTAAACGAAAACGATAAATTTAGGCAACACTCAACAATGACACGGCCAGGGGCAAATTAATGCCGACAATATTATTTTTACCCGATTTTTCACCACACAGTGGCTATATTACGTTCAAATATGCCAGAGATATCGGGTGCTATCTTTTTTTTATTTGAATGTCGCCCTTATCAGTACATTTTGTTATCAGTGTGTTAACCAATCAGCGTTAGTATTCAGATAATGCATTCACGTGTGACACTGGAAATAAATAAACACAACTTTGTAGTTTGACTCGGCACGTGTCAAAACAACACAACATGCAGCTGTATGCCACGATGACTTGAAGATTAAAAAGAAAAAAAAGCAGGTTTAGAGAAATATGAGTTTCACTCACATTAACATTCTTTTCCCCGCATTCTATTTTGAAACCCTGGTTGGTATAAAATTAGTCTGCACCCTCCCCTCTGATGCCACGGAAGAGTAACAAAATAACAAACGAACGAACATAGGCAAGTTTAATAATGGCGACTTCCTGGTGTGACTCTTAGCAAAGTTTCAAGATTTTAGCAAACTACGACTGACCAGTGCATCGTCGGACTAACAATCCCGGTGAGTAAATCAGTGTTTCTGAATGAATTCGTTTGTATTGATTTTTTGCACTGTCACACCTATTAGAGCTGTCAATGAGACTAAATTTAACCATACATTTGACGGTCGATTGTCGCGGCCCGTTACGTTAACAACCGTATTTGAACTTTTGACCACTCCGCGGGGTGCTTATTTAAAGCTGTCGCAATGTCATGTGTATATCATATGGTGGCTGTGAACCGATCACAATACTTTTCATCGATAGAAAGTTAGAGATTGAGATAATATTCAACAAACCGACCACCCGGCCATGCAGGTTCCGCTACACCGTCCACAGTCCCAATGTGGAGGAACTGTGATCGTCTGAGAGGCTGTGACCAGTCGCTTTAATTACATAATTTGGGATTGTAACATATTGGGGTGATTTGACTGCATGTCAAGATAATGAATAATGATAACAATAATGATTATATATGATATTGTCTTATATTATATTATATAATCATAACCCTTCTATTTGTCCATATTTTAGTTTCGGTTTCGTTTGCTTTACGTGGTGAATGAAAAGGAAAGTCATTTTCATCACAAATCACTCTGGAAAAACTACAGAATTCATATTTATGCTTTTTAAAATGCCTTAGGGAAAAAATAGGGGCCTTTTTTTCAGTGACTTACAACAAATTAAAATTTACTGGGCCTACAAATACGTAAAACATGAGTAGGTGGTACTCACATGAAAATGTGTTTTAAAAGCTTATTTAAGGTACTGTGTATTTCATGAAGGTATGAATTTGTTTTATGGACATTTATAAATATTTATTAAACATTTATCAACATATACGCTGGGTTTCAATGAAGGTGAGAATTTGTTTTGTATAAAATAATTGTAAATGTTAGCAAATGGCGATTGAAAACAACTTGACCAGTCACAAGAATAAGCAGAATAAACATCATTTTTCTTTCAGTTTTCTTTGCACAAAATCTATATCACTTACTTTGAACATGTGTTTTATTTTCAGGTTTTCATCGTTGTTGGCGCATATAATGTTGTCATAAAACAAACATGATTATAACTGTACATGCAGTAATTGATGGACACACATCCCGTGTGCCTGTTGAGATTGAACCTCATGATAGTATTGAGAGTTTAGTTTATGCATTCTGCTACCAGCAAGGTAAATTGTTATGCTACTTTCTATGTTCATAATAATAAATAATATGTATTATTCCAATATGTGTAATATGGTAAAATACTTTATTTCAGCTGAAAAAGAGTTTTTGGGTGTTTTGTATGGAATTTATTTTCACAAAAATCCATGATGAGACACTTTTGCGTTTGTAAGTTGAGTACTCTTTTTGCTTTATGAGTACTGCAAATGTTTATATTAATGACAGAGTTGTGTATATGGACAAAATGTGCTGTATTTAATGATTCAATAAATAATTAATTCAACTGTTGGTTTACTTGCTCCTCTTTTACAAATGCATATGTAATGTGTGTTGCTTTAGTAAGTCAAAAGACAATTTGGAAAATGATGTCTGGATCTCAAACTATTGAAACCCCACATATGCATGGTAATCCACATTACTATGTGCATAACTTCCTGTTGTCTTTCACAGACAGAGATAATCCTATTGTTTACCACAGAATGATTCACCATTTGTGTACCACAGGTGCAGAAAGGGCATTGTTTATTCATGAACCTGGATTTGATCTGTGATAGAGCATGGAGCTAAAAAAAGATTCTTTTTAGCTCCATGGATAGAGGGACTGTGATCTGTTTCTGCTTTTTCACAATTATTTTCTGTTTGTCCAATTATTTGAGCTGGAACGATATTTTAAATAAATCTTGATTTTTCCATTACAAGTAATGTTTCTTGTAGCATATACAATGAAAAAAGATTGATTTAATTTAGTGCTGTCATAGGCCACCCTTTACGATAATATGCCATTTTGTCATAGAGGGTGGAATCCAAATCAATGAACCTTAACCTTTTCACCACCAGTTCCCTCTTTTCATCACAAAATAGTCCCGTTTATAGTCTGCACTTTCTTCAAAAGATTGGGACAAAATAGCCAAAGTTTTTGAGTAAAAACTGAAAATTGACACAAATTTTGTCTGTTGGCTTCAAAAATTGAGTTTATTTCCAGAAATATTGAAGAATACTGTAAAATATTTTATTTTAGCTGGAATTAATTATCGCTGAAATGACTTTTTGGGTGTTTTGTATGGAATTTATTTTCACTGATTTTTGACGAGTTGAGTTTAAAATATAGGGAAAAGGTATATTCACCGCATTTTATCTTCACTGAATCATTCCTTCAGCAAAATTAGCGAAAATTAATCCCAAGCAAAAATAAAGTATTTCACAGTATAAGAAAAAAGTGCAGAAAGTGAGAAAGCCTGTTGGTGTAAAGTTTAAAGATCATTTTCTTTGTGTCTTGATGCAAAGCATGTATAATTTCATCCTGTTGCATTGAGTTGCTTTAGATCGTCTGCTCTGCCAGTTATGTTGCATCGTGCACTACCAATCAGAAAGTGTGATTTAAAACAAGAACAGAAAGAAAGTTGCCATGGTACATCACACCATCATGCATGGCACTACCAGTCTGCACTTGTTCTGAAATGTAGCAATTGGAAAATTTTACCGCAATTGTGACAGTTGCACTGCGCTGTGATATAGAGAAGGCAGGCTTAAGACATTCTACGTAAACCAAATTTTTGTCTTCACAAATGTTTTATAATCCTGAAATTGCCGAAATTTCTCAACACTGAAAATTGAATTAAATATTTTACAATATATTATGCAATATTACAGTAAAGAGTCAAATTCATAACTTTATGTTCTCTTAACTATACACTGTAGGTGCACCTGCACACAGAACATATGTCGTCAGAAATGAAAAAGAAGATATCCTGGATTTTTCTAAAAGTCTTGCCTTATGTGGTATTGAAGACAGTGATACGGTATACATTACTGAAGGAGGTGAGCGAGATCTGATCATGTCAAACATATACTGTATACATGCAAACATGCACCACTCAAAGATTGCCCTTTTGCATTTATTTACAATAAAATCTAATACAATGGTCCAAAATATATAGCCTTCATCTTAGTTCAATACTGACAACTACCAGTGATCCAGAATATATAGTCTCCATGTTGGTCCAATACTGACAACTACCAGTAATCCAGAATATATAGCCTGCATGTTGTCCAATGCTGACAACTAACAGTGGTCCAAAATATATAGCCCCCATCTTAGTCCAATACTGACAACTACGAGTGGTCCAGAATATATAGCCCCCATGTTGGTCCAATACTGACAACTACGAGTGGTCCAGAATATATAGCCCTCATGTTGGTCCAATATTGACAACTACCAGTAATCCAGAATATATAGCCTCCATGTTGGTCCAATACTGACAACAACCAGTGATCCAGAATATATAGCCTGCATGTTGGTCCAATACTGACAACTACCAGTGGTCCAGAATATAAGCATGTTGGTCCAATGCTGACAACTACCAGTGATTCAAAATATATAACCCCCATCTTGGTCCAATACTGACAACTACCAGTGGTCCAGAATATATAGCCTGCATGTTGATCCAATACTGACAACAACCAGTGATCCAGAATATATAGCCTTCATCTTAGTCCAATACTGACAACTACCAGTGATTCAAAATATATAACCCCCATCTTGGTCCAATACTGACAACTACCAGTGGTCCAGAATATATAGCCTGCATGTTGATCCAATACTGACAACAACCAGTGATCCAGAATATATAGCCTTCATCTTGGTCTATTACTGACAACTACCAGTGGTCCAGAATATATAGCCCTCATGTTGGTCCAATATTGACAACTACCAGTAATCCAAAATATATAGCCTCCATGTTGGTCCAATGCTGACAACTACCAGTGATCCAGAATATATAGCCTTCATCTTGGTCTATTACTGACAACTACCAGTGATCCAGAATATAAGCATGTTGGTCCAATGCTGACAACTACCAGTGATCCAGAATATATAGCCTCCATCTTGGTCCAATACTGACAACAACCAGTGATCCAGAATATATAGCCTTCATCTTGGTCTATTACTGACAACTACCAGTGATCCAGAATATAAGCATGTTGGTCCAATGCTGACAACTACCAGTGATCCAGAATATATAGCCTTCATCTTAGTCCAATACTGACAACTACCAGTGATTCAAAATATATAACCCCCATCTTGGTCCAATACTGACAACTACCAGTGGTCCAGAATATATAGCCTGCATGTTGATCCAATACTGACAACAACCAGTGATCCAGAATATATAGCCTCCATCTTGGTCCAATACTGACAACAACCAGTGATCCAGAATATATAGCCTTCATCTTGGTCTAATACTGACAACTACCAGTGATCCAGAATATATAGCCCCCATGTTGGTCCAATATTGACAACTACCAGTGGTCCAGAATATATAGCCCCCATGTTGGTCCAATATTGACAACTACCAGTGGTCCAGAATATATAGCCCTCATGTTGGTCCAATATTGACAACTACCAGTGGTCCAGAATATATAGCCTGCATGTTGATCCAATACTGACAACAACCAGTGATCCAGAATATATAGCCTTCATCTTGGTCCAATACTGACAACAACCAGTGGTCCAGAATATATAGCCCCCATGTTGGTCCAATATTGACAACTACCAGTGGTCCAGAATATATAGCCCCCATGTTGGTCCAATATTGACAACTACCAGTGGTCCAGAATATATAGCCCCCATGTTGGTCCAATATTGACAACTACCAGTGGTCCAGAATATATAGCCCCCATGTTGGTCCAATATTGACAACTACCAGTGGTCCAGAATATATAGCCCTCATGTTGGTCCAATATTGACAACTACCAGTGGTCCAGAATATATAGCCTGCATGTTGATCCAATACTGACAACAACCAGTGATCCAGAATATATAGCCTTCATCTTGGTCCAATACTGACAACAACCAGTGGTCCAGAATATATAGCCTGCATGTTGATCCAATACTGACAACAACCAGTGGTCCAGAATATATAGCCCCCATGTTGGTCCAATATTGACAACTACCAGTGGTCCAGAATATATAGCCCCCATGTTGGTCCAATATTGACAACTACCAGTGGTCCAGAATATATAGCCCCCATGTTGGTCCAATATTGACAACTACCAGTGGTCCAGAATATATAGCCCCCATGTTGGTCCAATATTGACAACTACCAGTGGTCCAGAATATATAGCCCTCATGTTGGTCCAATATTGACAACTACCAGTGGTCCAGAATATATAGCCTGCATGTTGATCCAATACTGACAACAACCAGTGGTCCAGAATATATAGCCTGCATGTTGATCCAATACTGACAACAACCAGTGATCCAGAATATATAGCCTTCATCTTGGTCCAATACTGACAACAACCAGTGATCCAGAATATATAGCCTCCATCTTGGTCCAATACTGACAACAACCAGTGATCCTAAATATATAGCCTGCATGTTGATCCAATGCTGACAATCACCAGTGGTCCAGAATATATAGCCTGCATGTTGATCCAATACTGACAACAACCAGTGGTCCAGAATATATAGCCTGCATGTTGATCCAATACTGACAACAACCAGTGATCCAGAATATATAGCCTCCATCTTGGTCCAATACTGACAACAACCAGTGATCCTAAATATATAGCCTGCATGTTGATCCAATGCTGACAACCACCAGTGGTCCAGAATATATAACCCCCATCTTGGTCCAATACTGACAACTACCAGTAATTCAGAATATATAGCCTCCATCTCAGTCCAATACTGACAACTACCAGTGATCCAGAATATATAGCCTCCATCTTGGTCCAATATTGACAACTACCAGTGATCCAGAATACTGTAGAATACTTTATTTTCGCTTGGAATTTATTTTCGCTATTTTCGCTGAATGGATGATTCCGTGAAAATAAAATCCAGCGAATATACTTTTTTTCCTATATTTCACATTAAATTCATCAAAAATCAGTGAAAATAAGTTCCATACAAAACGCTCAAAAAGTCTTTTCAGTGAAAATTAATTCCAGCGAAAATAAAGTATTCCACAGTATATAGCCTCCATGTTGGTCCAATACTGACAACTACCAGTGATCCAGAATATATAGCCTCCATCTTGGTCCAATACTGACAACTACCAGTAATCCAGAATATATAGTCTACCCAGTGGTCCTAAATATATAACTTCCATGTTGGTCAAATACTGACAGCTACCAGTGATCCAAAATATATAACCTCCATGTTGGTCCAATGCTGACAACTACCAATGATCCAGAATATATAGCCTCCATCTTGGTCCAATATTGACAACTACCAATGATCCAGAATATATAGCCCCCATCTTGGTCCAATGCTGACAACTACCAGTAATCCAGAATATATAGTCTACCCAGTGGTCCTAAATATATAACTTCCATGTTGGTCAAATACTGACAGCTACCAGTGATCCAGAATATATAGCCTCCATCTTGGTCCAATGCTGACAACTACCAATGATCCAGAATATATAGCCTCCATCTTGGTCCAATATTGACAACTACCAATGATCCAGAATATATAGCCCCCATCTTGGTCCAATGCTGACAACTACCAATGATCCAGAATATATAGCCTCCATCTTGGTCCAATGCTGACAACTACCAGTGGTCCAGAATATATAGCCCCCATGTTGGTCCAATGCTGACAACTACCAATGATCCAGAATATATAGCCTCCATCTTGGTCCAATATTGACAACTACCAATGATCCAGAATATATAGCCCCCATCTTGGTCCAATGCTGACAACTACCAATGATCCAGAATATATAGCCTCCATCTTGGTCCAATGCTGACAACTACCAATGATCCAGAATATATAGCCCCCATCTTGGTCCAATACTGACAACTACCAGTAATCCAGAATATATAGCCCCCATCTTGGTCCAATACTGACAACTACCAATGATCCAGAATATATAGCCCCCATCTTGGTCCAATGCTGACAACTACCAATGATCCAGAATATATAGCCTCCATCTTGGTCCAATGCTGACAACTACCAATGATCCAGAATATATAGCCCCCATCTTGGTCCAATACTGACAACTACCAGTAATCCAGAATATATAGTCCCCATCTTGGTCCAATACTGACAACTACCAGTAATCCAGAATATATAGCCCCCATCTTGGTCCAATACTGACAACTACCAATGATCCAGAATATATAGCCCCCATCTTGGTCCAATGCTGACAACTACCAATGATCCAGAATATATAGCCTCCATCTTGGTCCAATGCTGACAACTACCAATGATCCAGAATATATAGCCCCCATCTTGGTCCAATACTGACAACTACCAGTAATTCAGAATATATAGCCTTCATCTTGGTTCAAAACTTATTTTATATCTGTACATTTGTGTATGTCACAAATTAGTTCCAAAAGTTACCAGCTTATAGTACAACTTTAAAATGCCTGTGAAATGCCTATGTCCTACTTTTCACAATAGACAGATAATAGGAATTTGAATATGTGTTGGAAGTTTGGACAGCATTATAATAATTATCTGGTCTCAAAAAATGTTTTTTTTGTATTGTCGATTTAGTGCTTCGCAATCTGATGCCACTGTGTTTTGCAAAGTTCACAACTACTTACATATTCATAAGTACTGTAAAAGACTTTATTTTTGCTATTTTCGCTGAAGGAGTGATTCAGTGAAAATAAAATCCAGCGAATATACCTTTCTTCTTATATTTTACATTGAACTCGCCAAAAATCAGGGAAAATAAATTCCACACAAAATACCCAAGAAGTCTTTTCAGCGAAAATTAATTCCAATGAAAATAAATTATTTCACAGTACATCGTGGATGTCACACCAGGAACTCAACACAGAGACTATCAATGGCGTACATATGGAGTTACACAAACATTGAACTTTTGGAGTTGATTTCTTCTCTGACGACTTCTATATGATGATTGTCTTGAAGATAGAGCATTCATAATTAGAAAAAATGTAAAAAAAAAATTCAATTCTCTTTAAAAACGATGAGCTTAATTCTTGGATACTTGGTTTATGTTTACCAAAGTTGGTCCACTTTCAAGTTGTGACGATATCTTCAATTCTCTAATTTTGATGAATATTTTTTGTCGTTTTTGTCAAAAAGTGATATTTTCAACTTCTTCCTGAAAACCTCAAAGTCTGATTGTTTTTATATCATATACAACATAGGTACCTCAGGTGGATCTCTCTCAGATTTGTTCATTTTGTGAAGAGATTATTTTAGGTATAAAAATTACTTCTTCTTGAAATCCATTCATCAGATTGTTTTATTTCTGGATATGTGGGTGAACTCATCTACAATTTCTCAATTTCATGACTATTTTTCTGTATTATACCTGCACATTTCACATGGGGAGTAATGCTGGCACAGCTGGCTGGCTCAGTGCATTCCACTGTTTTGCAGGAATTTATTTTCATTGAAAATTACCCACGATATCACACAACTACAATTTTTCCAATTTAGTTTCACCAGTTTTCCATAAAATACATGATGGAAACTAAAGCAGACGTATTTATTGTCAATTGAGTGAAAAAAAAAAATGAATTCCAAGCTCAAAAATATAATTCTACAGTACCGTATATGTTGACTCTTTATGCAAATTATAATACGCGGGGTTAGGGTAACAGATGTAGCCATATTGAAACTTATGCACTAGTGTTGGAGCCCTTTATACATGTAGTTCTCATGTGCAATGTCAGGTACGTCCTTGTAGTTTATACAGTTACCCTAAGTGACAATATTCCTAAACTATGATCAACAAACTGTGTTGGATATTCCTTTTTTTGCATGAATTATTTTTTGCACTTTAGCTGCACTATTACATTATTTGCATCCATCTGCCAGACATGTACTCATATAACAGTAGATTATAATAACATTATACATTATAATTTAACAGTAAATATAATGGCAGTGTTCTCACTGGCCAATACTTTTTGGGTCAAGATAGTTAATTTTTGATGTTTTTGTAGGGATTAACAATGCCACGTTCATAATAGAAAGTGGACATGTGTCAATATATGTTGAAATCACATCCTCAGTGCTGAAGTGATATACTCTGCCAACAATGGCTCACATAATTCATCACTCCTGTAAAAAAAAATCATTGTCTGAGAAAGGGTATACCAACGGGGTAAAACAGAAAGGGTTATAATTTTTTATTCCTGTGTGCACACAATGGGAGTCTTTGCAGTTAGTGTGTCTGTATGTGTGTGTGTGTGTGTGTGTGTGTGTGTGTGTGTGCCCGCCTGTTCCACTGATATCTCAAGAACCATACTAGTTTCTAATGAAACTTGATGCATATAATGCTCCCTGCTTTGATTAGGTTTCAGGTGAAATCTATGCATATTAATTAGCTAATTTGCATGATAATCAGCTAATTTTCAGCCTTTGACTCTTCCACTGATATCTAATAAAACTGCTCATTGGATTTGGATTTAAATAGGTATATATCCCAAAACTTAAATCCATCTTGATCTGGATCTAGTTCAGTAACGAGAATGGAGCGTATTTTGTGAATATCATAACTGATATCATTTTTGTTAATTGAATTTATTCCTGAATATACAATAAAAATGTCAAAATATCAGTTATGAAAACAAACCAGGACTCAAAATTGTTGCACATCTCATCCTTGTAAAATGTAATATAAATGAAAATGTGTATTTTAGGTACATTTTTATTCAACAATCACATTGTGATTTCATCGTTAACCATAAAATATGTACTTACAGTACACTGTATAATATTTTGATAAATTAATATGTATGTGCAGTGATTATTATTGTATGTGCTGATTTGTTTTTTATGCTTTAATCTTGCACCTTCATAATAATTCAAAGTGTAATTGATTACTGTAAAATACTTTATTTTTACTTGGATTCTATTTCTGCTATTTTCACTGAAGTGATGAATCAGTGAAAATAAAATATTGTAGAAATACCATTTTTCTGATATTTTTATTTAACGCAGTGAGAGTATTTATCAGATTGTGACTAAATGGCTACAACCCAATAAAGTGTATATTTTTAGAATCGCCAGGGTTCAAGGTTTTTAAAAATGTGTTGTCAAAAATCAGTTAATATAAATTTCATACTAAACAGCCAAAATGTCTTTTCAGCGAAAGATTTATTCCAGCTGAAATAAATTATTTTAAAGTATTGACTTTATTAGTACTGGTAGTACATATATAAATAAGTTGTGTGTCAAATACAAATTTTTCTAATCCTTTCATGAATAGATTTTTAATCTAACACCAGTATACATGTAAACAAATTCATTTTTTATAATTTTGACCAGAAATTATTTTATTCATGAATCACAAACTATTAACCACATTTTTGATAAGCTACCATCCCCATCTCTCTCTCTCTCTATATATATATATATATGATACATTGTATGTTTTCATCTTCATTATTTATTAACTTAATTAAAAAGCAAGGTTAAAAAGGTGCATCTTGTTTAGCCAGTGAATATCAAATCAGTTTGTTACATTGCATCCTTGCTCTGTTATCACTTATTAGGCCTGCTAACTGTTTAATCTCTAATCATGTTCTGTCAATTGTTTATTTATTAACAAAAAAAAACGTATGTGACACGGGGACTGTAGTGGAAAGTATGGGTGAGTGGCTCAAAAAGTAGGTGGGTGGGCCAACTCAAAAACTTTTGTGAAGAACACTGCATGGTTAAAGCATTGCCATTTATCATTCTTTCTGTTGTAGTTGCCCTTCACCTTGTGATTTATGTCAAAATGTTGTTTATTTTTCTCTGCTAAGAGTTGATACACAGATTGATGTATTAATGCATTAGTGCGTGCATACCTGATATCTCTCCTATAGTTATGCTAGGAATAGCAGCACGACATTCAGGTCAGGTCATTTTTCAAGTTCATCTTCAGTACTTTTAGAAATATTATATATCATATTATATATATTCAAATCAGATTGTTTTTTGTTGATTTTTGTCATACATCACAAATCGAACCCACATAATTATAAAAAATATTGATTCCGACCTGCTGCCTTTGTAAAATTATGGAAAGATGGAAAGTACTGTAAGACATTATTGAAAAATACATAAAAATGTCAACATTTTTTCACAACTGCCATGTTATTGGGGACTTGATGATGTCATATTTCACCCATAATTCTTAACGTGAATGTGAATGAAGTTGTTCTCTACAATACCAACACAAACTGATAATTTTATTGGGATTACATTTATACATTGTCTAAAACAACCATTCTTTGCTACACATGATAGTTACCACACAAAAAAAAAAACCATGGTAAAATAATATAAAACTGAAAAAATAGTTTTTATACTCAATAATACAACCTGGACATACTCACAAGGTTTTTAGATGGTGATGACAGAGAAAACAGTGGATAATTTGCCAGAAATCCAAACAATCTTTTAAAACAATTTTGCATTATGGCTGGGCCGAGGAGAGCCATCATGTATCCTGAAGCTGGTGCATGAGGAAGCTCGGGCAACCAGTCATTTTCCTCAAATTTATCGATAGATTTCAAGTTGAAAAAATGGTTGGGAATATGAGGTGGGTTGTAAGTATGTGCCGGTTGTATTATTATGCATAACATTTTTATTTAAAATTTTTGTATTATCAAGGTTTCAAAGGTTAATTATCTAAAATGTTAGGTGCAGAAAGTTTGGGATGGGATATCCACTGTTTTTGAGGTCATTAACCTCTTAAACCATGGTAGTATGTTTAGGTTGTACGACTTAAACTGCATACAGCATAGGTGTATTCATTACAGAGAAGGAACCAATCAATCTCCTTGTAGAAACAGATGATCTGTGCCCTTGTTCTAAACAACAGCTGATTGGTCATTTGCTTATGATATTTACTCATCATAGTTCCAAAATCTAGGCCTTGTCTACATATTTTGCCAGTGGGGAAAACAATCTGGCTCAGGCGAGAATGTTATTATGGGTTGCCCAGGAACATGCATGCATATATACTACTGAGACATGTGCAGATGACACTTTTCCAATTAGCCCTGGAACATGTATATTTACATTCAGATGATTTTAATGTTGAGTAATGTTTTTTTCAAAGAGAATGTGATATAATACTTAATCCACTTTCTTACACAAAAGAAACAAAAACATCAATATAAACTAGATAATTGTTTTAAACATCTACTTTACTTCCTCATCAGTATAAGTTTCTTAGTAAATTTTGATTTTAGCAACTTCATTTATGGAGGTATTTAATATCTATTCAATAGTATTGTTTAATTTTCTTTTTTTCTTGTTACAGATGAGCCGGTGGAATATCTTCCCTCTCCTCAGATGCCTTTAACATACAACCCCTTCTTAATTTTGGGAATTGTATTAACAACAGTGGGAATTGTGGGTATTGTTATAGTAGCAGTTGTACAAAATACCGCTCATCCTGAAATACAAAAAGGGGTGAGTATTCTCTTCTTATGCTTTCTTTGATCCAACTTTCAATATTTCTTTCTTTCATGGTTAACTCATCTGACATGTCTGTCTTCATTTTGTTCTTTGTTTGGTGAAAAAGTGAAAACACTATAATAAATTTTGTTTATGGTTTATGTTGATGACATTACTATGGTCCTTACTATGATATCAATTTGAATGATATATCTGCAAACTGTGATATCAATTCCAATGATATATCTTCATACTATGTGATATCAATTCCAACAATATATCTCCATACTATGTGATATCAATTTTAGCATTATATCTCCATTTTATGTAATATTTATTCCAGCAATATATCTCCATACTATGTGATATCAATTCTAGCAACATATCTCCATACTATGTGATATAAATTCCAGCAATATATCTCCATACTATGTGATATCAATTCCAGCAATATATCTCCATACTATGTGATAAAATTCTAGCAATATATCTCCATACTATGTGATATCAATTCCAGCAATATATCTCCATACTATGTGATGTCAATTCCAGAAATATATCTCCATACTATGTGATATAACTTCTAGTGGTATATCTCCATACTATGTGATGTAAATTCCAGCAATATATCTCCATACTATGTGATATAAATTCTAGCAATATATCTCCGTACTATGTGATATCTATTCTAGCAACATATCTCCATACTATGTGATATAAATTCCAGCAATATATCTCTATACTATGTGATATCAATTCTAGCAATATATCTCCATACTATGTGATATCAATTCTAGCAATGTGACATCTCTATACTATGTGATATCAATTCTAGCAGTATATCTCTATACTATGTGATATCAATTCTAGCAATGTGACATCTCTATACTATGTGATATCAATTCTAGCAATATATCTCCATACTATGTGATATAAATTCCAGCAATATATCTCCATACTATGTGATATAAATTCTAGCAACATATCTCCATTCTATGTGATATAAATTCCAGCAATATATCTCTATACTATGTGATATCAATTCTAGCAATATATCTCCATACTATGTGATATTAATTCTCGCATTATATCTCCATACTATGTGATATCAATTCTAGCAATATATCTCTATACTATGTGATATCAATTAAAGCAATATATCTCTATACCAGGTGTTCATACCCATACTAAAAGATTTAATCTCTAAAATATTTGATATGAAGTGCATCAATATATATTGTATGACAGGCATATATGCCAACTACTAGGTCTAGTTAAGAATACTGTATGTATATGTATATATATTTATTCAGTACCATTGGCCATAGGCCATAATGTACACACTTAAATGTAACACAAATAAATAAATAGATCGTTTGACAAGAAAAATCACTGCTACTGCTTGTCTGAATATTACAAACTTATACTTCACCTATGAATACCAAATTAAATTTATATTTCAGTTAAATTTTTCTCCAACAAACTATGACGTTTTTGTAAAGAGTAGAATACGTATTTTGCAAGATTTTGTATTGTATGTGTATTTTCAGATTGCAGTAGCAAAATTAATTTCCATTCAAGCGCTGGGCAATAGTAAAACTTGTCTATAAAACGAGTTCTAATTTCCTCAAATTTGGGGCATTGTATAGAAAGTGGAACTCGTTTTCAATGAGATTACAACCAAGAGGACACACTCTTTGGTCAAGTGGTATTCCCAATGTTAAAAATACTGTTTCAAGAGTTGTTTACTGTATATGTACAAATTTCTTATATTATTATATCTCCTCAAAATGTTTTATTTCAGTATGGTTTGTCATGGGATGCTGGTTCAACTCATTCCAAACTACACGTATATCATTGGCCGGTGGAGAAGGAAGATACAACAGCCCTAGTAACACAAATAGACCAATGCAGAGCTGATGGTGAGTAGCTATTATAGATTCTATCATCACCCTTGTGGGAGAAAAAAAAGTTGTTTTTTTCTTTAAAACTTGTTCTTTTGAAATTGGTAGTTTCCATAAGGCAAACAATTATTTTGAAATAGGTATGTTGGGGATTGGAAGGGGTTGGAGAAGGGAAAACAAAGTTTTGTGATGAATTCCCTACATTTTGGTTCACTCACCTATTTACTTGTGTCGTTGAAAATAATGAAATTAAAATCCAAATGAAATTGGGAATTATAAATTCATGCAGAATAAAAAAAAAGTGGACCTTATGCCAGTGGGTGGTAGCAGGTGACGTGTGGGGGTATGGTGAATTTAAGCGATTTAGAATGTGTTGTGAGAGTTATTGGTGACGTACTGAATGCATGTTACTCTTTTCCGCTTTGATTAATAGTTTACACATAAAGATAGGTCTAAGGACACTTTATTGTGCAAGATTTACAAAGGTCATACACTCTCATAGTTTGACAAGTTAACAACAGAAAATAAACAGCACTAAAGTAAATCTTCATTATTTAGGTTCCTGAAATGTGTTTCTTACAAAACTTATCCCTTGGGGTTATTTGTCTTGCTTTTCTTTTAATAAGCTTATTACCATATTTAAAAAATAAACAAAATGTCAAATGAATTGTTTCCAAAAAAATAAAAACTATTGTATATTGGCATGCTGCCATTTATTGCCTCGCTAAAGGAGGCAGATTGATTTCATGTGAATATGTAATCATACGTTATATATCATAGACTGGTTGATACAATTCAGCTGTTGGACCCTTTGATCAAAAGCTAGTATCGTGACTATTACATTACCCACTCCTCTACTCGCCCAGAAATAATGTTTCTTTTGTTGATATGTAAAAAGAAATACATCCTTGACAATACTTCTAAATGGAAACACCAAAGGGCAATTGTCAAACAATAGTCTAGATACATTATAATGAATTTTGAATATTTGTGTCACAGTTTTAAGTTTGTCGGTCAGTGAGGTGGAAGTAATACATTGTAGTAATCCCATTTATAAAATGCACATTTAAAGTTAAAATTCTTTATTACAGTGATGATTTCATTTGCATTTATCATTACGTTTTTTTTTACCTAATTTCCATATTTCCCTGTTTACATTGGTATTTCCTGTTGACTTGGTAGTCAGTTCATATGTCATTAGTCTGACAATTCACCTGCTGCAATAACTGAGACCTTTGGAAATTTAAATGTTTATGAAATTTCATTCTCTCATTTCACTCAGCATCGATTTGTTTCACTCTAGTAAACCCCCTGCTGAAATTTTTTTATACAAACTAATATCTAAATTTATTCTTCAATTTAAGTTTTTTTGTCAAGAGGGTAGTTTAGGTTGTTTATGGAAAATTGACAGATTTAATGTATTTTTGATTTATTAATTAAAAATACAAAACATTTTAAGGTGTGTTTGCCTCTTAAAAAATTATTAGGGGAACGTGCAACTTGGACAACTGACCCACCCCTGAATTGTTAATAATAAAACACATAAATAAATTAAACTTGCAAACCCTAATTGTCAACACATTCTTACTAAGAGAATAATATTGATTTTCTGATTTCGTTAACTCTAAATTATGAGATACATATTTAAGAAGAGAAATATTCACTTTTTAATTCTACTGGATTTTATGTTGTTTGAATATTCACTCGAATATTGTCAAGTTAACAATGCGTTTTTTAAAATGTCGCATGTATTTATATTCACTGGGTTTAAATTTCACTTACTTTCAATAGAAATAAAACCCAACTAATAATTAATTAATTTTGCTTTAAAAATTTCTGTATTTCGGATTATTCAAGTTGTGGCTAATCCAGCAACAAGCTTATTATAATGAGGTTGTCATTTCGTTGCAATTCATGTTTTGGACTTATTTTGCATTTGTCATACAACATGCAAGTATTTATTTTGTATATTGTGTAATGTGACCATAGTAATTATTGTTACTAGGGATAGATGATATGATATTTACAGGTTATTCATCAGCAGTGATTTCATGTAAATTTCATCATCATATTTGTTTTTCAAGCTTTTTTTTTTTACATAAGAGCTGTCAAACATTTAAATTATCTTCATTTATTACTGCTAAATAAATCATTTTCAAAAGAATAGTGCAAGATAAATATCCGACTTTAGAGTTATGTTTCCTTTGAAGGATATGTTTTTATGACTGGTCATCAACAACAGATTCAAGGACAAATCGTGTTTTGAAGGTGTTCTGTTCAGGCTTGAATCCAAGTGTATTATTTCACTACCACTTGTTGACAATCTCAAAGTATTTACATACACACAGTACACAATGCATAAAACTTTACTCAAACTAAGGAACATACATAAGAATTTATTAAAACCTGTTGACTGAGATTTAAAAATTTGCAAAAATATGCATTAAATAAAATGTGCTGATTAGTTTTATAAGAAAGTTTTTTGATCCGAAGCTGTTTTTTTTTTTGCTGATTTTTCTTATTTTTTTTTTTTTAATTCAAGGCAAAAATGTGGTGCCAAATGAATGCAGCCCTGGGGTAAAATGTTTAGATATTCCTTCTCTACCATTGTAAACAGAAAATAAGTAATGCTGTCCGTCATTTTGGCAGTGTATTCCATGATTTAAAAAATTAACAACAAAATGTACATGCTCTTAAAATGGATGAACTAAATTTTAAAAATAACATCAATAAACTAAGGAGTCAAAATCTAAGGTGAATGACCCCGGTTAGACTGCAATAAAAGGTGATAGCCATTTTACAAAACTAATATTCAGCTATAAAGTTGAAGAGCAAATAAAATTAGAATATATAGATGTCTAGTTCAACACATGTCCCATTTCAAAGACACTGCACTTTGTCAGCATTGACAGCTATGTGTGATTAATGAAGTCATGTGATCCCGGTCATGTGACCTAGAATCTCTTTCCCATCAACGATTATGGGACCTGAACCAGACCTAGTGCATACCCAGTTAATAAAGTTAATTTTTAATTCGTCAAGATTAAGGGAGCAAAAGGGGAAAAACAAGTTAAAAATTGATCTTTGATTCAGACATTCCGTAAGTTATTATGAGTGCTACTATAACAACCTATATATCATCTGAAAGCTCAGATATAGGCAAATACAGTAGTGTATATGCCGTACTAATATTAGCAAATTTTTATAAATGAATGTTTTTTGATTTATGCAAATGATGATGCCTGCATGTATCAAATAATTACTTCGTCACACAAGTCAAAGAAAGCTAACAAATTTATCATATTATTGCATATTTTACTCCTTTACATATAACAAGACAATTAGGTGATTTCTTTTTCACTGCGAGATCTCACGTATTAATGCGTGACCAGACACGAATCAAACATCTGCCACAAAAATTGAATAATTTGCTTTTGAACTTGAGTTTGTTATTGTTATAGCTCAATATCAAAAGGCCGATCTTACAAATGTGCACATTATTGAACATGGAAATACTGGTATCCCATAAATAGTTTTGCATTTGTTGAATCCCATTGTTTTGGTGTCGCTAAGTCACTTTGACCTATGACCTTTGTTTGTCCTGTTTTTACGTTTGAATTCATGCATAACGTGGGATCTGAAGTGAAGGGAAAATGGTCTATTAACCTTTCAAACCTTTTCTCATTCACCATTGATAGTTTTAATGATTCAACGTTCAATAAATGTATTTGCTGTATTCGTAGTGCATGCGCTTACATAAATAACAAAGGTGTGTCTGTGGTCAAATTAAGCCGTGTTATAATGATCCAGCATACAATATTGTAAAATACTTTATTTTAGCTGGAATTAATTTTCGCTTAATAGACTTTTTGTATAGATTTTATTTTGAATGTAAAATATAGAAAAAAAGATATATTTGATGGATTTTATTTTCAGCGAAAATAGTGAAAATTAATTGCAAGCGAAAATAAAATATTCCACAGTAAATAGTTTTTGTGTGTGCGCTTCTATTGGAGATGCGCTTCTAATGAAGCAAATACAGTATTAGCATTTGATTTCCTGCCTTCTTGCTGATCACTGCCATAATTCTAACTCCTAAAGGTGTTATATACCTGCTAAGGGTGAAGCTAGCACATATGCAATCTCCGCATTGCCATAACTGGAATAAAAAAAAATATTCCAGTTATTAATAACATGAAATATGAACTTTTTTACACTGTATCACTGAAAGCTGTTGTAGAGGATGATGAAATGGAAAAATACCAAAGTAAATTATGTTGATTTTGATATGAAATGGGTTAACGACTGATTCTTGTAAAATACTTTCAATGTAAAATAAAACACATGTGCGATTGAAGCAACTGGAGTTGATCTTTACAAATCTGTGTAATATTTCAACCTCTGCCAAACTTATCTTGTGCCAGGAGTTTTTTGTAAATTTTCTAAAATTATGAAATTTGTGGAGAAACAAGTTTGTCACTTTTCAATGTCCCCTCTTGACTACTTACAAAGTAAGTAACTTGCAATATCAGTTGATAAATTACTAACTCTATTAACCTCCTTGTCCTACAAGATTTTGACCCTATGACCCTACTATATCTACTTATTTGGACCTGTTTGTTTTGATCAAATTGAACCCTGTGGCTCTCATTATGATGGAGATCAGACTCTGCATAAATTTGAACATGACTTGCATAAAATTATTCCAATATATATTCAATTTATTATTATTATTTTTTTTTTCAAGAAAACATTGGTTTAATTTGTATTTACTCTTTTTATTTCCAATTTTGATTGATTTCATTTATTTGTTGACTCAAAAATGTGCCTAAGGATAAAGACACCCCACACGAAAACTCTCAGAGGGGGGTTCTACATTTTTCATTTAAATCAACAAAAGTTTTATCATCATGTGAATTGTACAAAAAGTGTAAAATTGAACTATTTTAAAATAATGCTGGGGGTTGTGTTAGGATTTTACTTCAGAGAAAATACTTACATTTATTTTTCTCAAACTT